AATAGAAATTAATAAATAAACTTGTTTTTATTGGTGCAGGTCAGGATGGACGCAATCGCGTTTAACGCGATTCAATTCCTTTTTGGCGAGAGGGCGAAAAAACTCTTCCATTTTTGATTATATTGTTGCAGGTCAAGGGTGGGCACAATTGTTTCAAAAGCAATGTCTATTCATTTTATTCGCGAGCGAGTGTAGCGAGCGAGAAAAATGAATTAGTCTCTTTTAGTAACATTTGGTACATACATTGTGTGTTATTGTTGCCATGGTTGCAGGTCGGGGCCCGTCGGGGCAGGCACAATGTATTCTAGGCAATGCTAATCCTTTTCTTTTTTCAGGGGAAGAGCAAGTGAAAACATTTAATACAAAATAGGCTAGCAAGCAGTTCGCGCCAGCGAAGAGTTTTGAATTTGTTATATCACTTTTATTTTCCTATTTTCATTTGTCTTAATTTTTCAGGGCCGTATGCGGAATATTTTTCTGGTGGGGGAGGGGGAAAGATGCGTTAAAAGTTTTCGAAGAATCTCAAAAGCAAAAGGAGTGAAGGGAGTTCGAGCGACCGAACTAGTCATGAGGGTACTTTTGCATTTTCAAAAGTAGAATTGAAGGATTTGGTATAGGCCTACACTACATTTTCAGGAAAAAAACTGTACGTTTTCAAAATATCTGGGTTCAACTGCCCCCCCCCCCCCTGGTGCGTACGGCCATGGTCTTTTTTTTAAAATTTCCCCATTTGTTTTCCTTTCCTTTTCTTTTCCCTTTTTCTTCCTTTTCTCTTCTTCCTTTTTTCTTTCCTTTTCCTTTTTTCTTTTTCTTTCCTTTCCTTTCTTTTCTTTTCTTTCCCTTTTTTCTTTTTTTCCCCTGGAGCCCGTCAGGGGGGGGCACTCTGCCCCCCCTGCCCCCCCCCCCCATAGGTACGCCAGTGCCCCATACCAAACTTTGTATTACCTTTGACGATGCAAATTTACAGTGTACCAAGTCATTTGTGTCTGCACTTACAGACCACCTCTCTATAATGGTCACTCTCCATTGACCAGTTTTTAAATTCAGGTTTGACTGTGTTTTAAAAATCAAGTGACATATGGCATAAGGAGAGAGTGGGAGGGGATATACTGAGAGGGAAAGAGAGAGAGGGGGATAGAGAGGGGTAGACACTCAGAGAGAGATGGGAGGGAAGAGTGGGAGAAAGAGAGAAATGTGATACATTAGATCATGGTGGGCATGGAGAGAGGGAGAGAGGGGGAGTGGAAGAGGAGAACGAAGGTGTGTGTGTGTGTGTGTGTGTGTGTGTGTGTGTAGGGGGTTCGTTGATCCAAAGCATATCCTCTGGACAATGATGTAAGTAGCTATGTATATCGATACTATCCAAGGATTAGGCTGGTACTAAATGAGGATGAATTATGATTACTGAAATGGTGCAATTTACATGTTGATTTCTTGTTCACAGAACTATAAAAGTGCACGGAGCCCAATCTTGTATAAATACACACACAAACGCGCGCATACACAACTCACATACACACAGGGGCGGATCCAGCCCAGGGCAAGAGGGGGGGGGGGGCAATCCGTGAGAAAATATTTAGCGGCGACTCTCAGCCAGCCGGTGAATAAGCGCGCGGGGGGGAGGGTAAGAGCACTCTTTTTCTTTTTTCCCAATTCGTGAGATTAAAAAAAAAAAATTGTTTTAATTTCCTTTCTATTTTTTTGTTTTTGTTTGGGAGGGGGGTCGGGGGCTGGGCCCGTCTGCCCCCTCCCCCCGCCATGGATCCACACCTGCATATATACGTAGGCCTACACACGTACACATGGTTACAATGTAGTTATTTTTAGTGCTTGATACACAGTCTAAAGTCATTTATTGAGACAATATTGATACAGACTGCATAATACGGTCGCGAGGCATTTTATTGCTATCACTCAGTGCAAAGAAGGACATTTATGACACATTTTAGTAGTAAGATAATGCTTAGAAATTAAAGTTAAAGGTTAAAAATTTTGGGAAATTTTGGAAATTGGGTGGATAGTAATTCTTTACAATTTGGATATATTTGGATATTATAAGCACTAGAAAATTAAGCCTCTAAAACCCCTGCTTTCGAGAAAAATTAAATATAAACATTTCAAATAGCGCCTCCGGCCGTACAAAGGTAGCTGTAGTCCAGAATCTGCCTTATTTAATTTTGATCTCCACCACACCAACCCTACCTCTCCCTACTTACTTGCTACCAGCCGATGATGGCGTGATCATTAAATTAGGACGTCCGGCGAAAAATGAGTTTGTTGATAACGCCATCTTCGACGGCTTGAATCAAGTGTGTAGGGAAATTATAAAGGGCCGTGCAGATTCTGGACTAGGGTAGCTAGCTGCGACGATGAAAATCTCAGAATATGTTGTTGTGATATTATAATTTCCCAACGGGAAGGCTTATCGGTCTTTTGCTTAATTAATATATTGTTTATTTCAGATTGCCCTACCTCCCTTCCCCTTCCTGGCCTTGCGGGTGGATTCATTTAGGTTCAATTTATTACGGTAGGAGAAAGGGATGATAAAACATCAACAAAGAAAAAAAACGCAGCCATTTTTCGGTGGTAGTAGTTGTCTGTCAATATTGTTCAACTTTCATAGGGTTTACTCTTTCTTCCCTAAAAAAGTTTTATTGGGCACCCCCTCCCCACCAACATCCGTACTCCAACCAGAGCCCTTAAAAAAATGATTTCTTACCCTGAACTATATGAATCATAGTAAGCATAGACAAGTGGCGACACCTAAAGGCAAGATCTGGAATCGTCCAGAATCTGCTCTGTTCTTATCATTCTCTACACATTTGATTCGAGCCGCCAAAGATGGCGTTAACAACAAACTCATAATTATGCTCACCAGCCCGCGTCTAGCAGCCCAGCCTGATCAACCATCAGGCGTCCTAATTCATGATCACGCCACCTCCGGCTGGCAGCAGGTATGTATTCACAATAACTATGTATATAGCAGTGATGTGCTTTCTCACAGTCATGTGTAACACACAGTGTAGGCTCCCTACATACCATGCGCTTCTAGGCCCTTGACTGGAGATGCGAAGGTCGAGAGTTCGAATCCCTAGTAAGTGCCCCTTTTCAGGTACGAGAAGTGCCCCTTTTCCTTTGTAATAAGTGCCCCTTCCCCTTTTAATAACTAACCCCCCCCCCCCCCCCATTTTAACTCGGATAAGTGCAACTTATACTTTCACATGTGCCCCTTTTCCTTTCTAATAAGTGCCTTTTTTCCTAATGATAATTGCCCGATTAAAAAAGAGCCCATTCCTCTTCTCATAAGTGCCTCTTCTCTGGTAAATGACCCATTTCAGGTATGGTTCAAGGCATGGCCACACAGAGGAATTTTTCCTGTAGGGGGCCGGGGGAAAATGCAATGAATTTTTGACAATTTTTGTATTTTCTTCGTTTTGGGGGATTTGTGGAAGGGGCCGCGTACCCTAGCAAACACTGCGTACAGTCATGATTCAGGGGCTAAGCAATAGCCTCGTTACTTTGAGGCCCCAGGATAAAAATCGTGCTGATCAGCTATATTAGTGCCCTTTTGTGAGGCATTAATCCTCATTACTGTCAATTATGATTTAAGGACGTAGGTTCCCTAGCTGATTAGCATAGTAGCACACATATGATATAGCAGTCACGCAAAACAAACACTCGCAATTTAATATTCAATAAAACCTGAGAATGTATGCCATTATCTAGATCTATTAGAAATAAATAATTTTTAAAAATCCTTCCCTAAACTGGGGTAAAAATAAATATTCCACCATTATGACCAACAGTGTAGTTGTTATTGTGTTGAAATATTTAATGAAGTGCCTGTGGGTAAAAGCCGCAAAGGAGAAAAACAAGAACTATTTTAGATTTGTGAACTCAGCAAACAGAGCAGTTGTCCATGACTTAGTCAAAGTCCACCGACCAAATTGCCATTTTGAGATTCGCGTAGATTTAGCGATCACATTTTTCAAACAGTCATAGTTTTCTTCACATTGGTCCATTTTATTTCAAACTTTTGCTATTCTGTTTGCGTTAATTGTTCTGCTTTCATGAAAATAAAATTATTACAAGGGTTGGATTACCCGTCAATGGCTACCAGATATGTTGTTTTGCATTCTGAATCCGCAATTCCACCGAGAATCAAGAGTCAACAAATTGGTTCAACTTCCTTCATTCAACGTATCAACCACTTTATAGTGGTTAAATGACACAATACAATGGACGAGGAAGTAAAACAAGGTAGAAGTAATCGGTATCTTTAATTAAAAGAAATGTGCAAAAAGGTGAAAAGTTTATTGACCATAGGAACTCACACTCAACGTTTAACTATTACAACACAACGAGTAATAAATGATGTACTTATCATTAATATTGGACTTGAAATCAATATAATTGGAGTAATCGTTTTACATGCATTGAAACGGTCGTTTAACGATACATGTTTATTTTACAAAGATTGATTTTTTTCTTAGCAATACACATCAGGTTATCATACTAAACGTCCGTTGAGAGCTGGAACGTAATTTGTTTACATCCATTTTAGATTATTAAGATTACACACAAATATCGTGGAATTAGAATTATATATCTACTTCGTATTACTGTAGGCCTATATTTATGAAGAAAAAAATGAGTCCAGATTTAACACAATTTAAAAACAAAACAAAATTTCTATCATTAGTTTTAACACTTTGGGGGTTTTAATCAATGAAACGATACGGATTGATATATTTCTCGATGTGATCAGAAAATAACGGCTTATAAACCAAGGTTTATGATAATCCATATTTTGTTTATGCTTTCCTTACTTAAGTTTCAGGTAAAAGGTACTTTTGACACATTTTGTTCAGAAATCAAGATTTCAAGTTGTCTATAGTTCATTCTCTAAGAGAAAGAATATTTCATTTTTCACTAACACTTATTCTGCATATTAAGAGTATATCTAATCTACTGCTACACATTTTCTCTTTCATTCTTAATGACCTTCTTCTAGTTGAACTTCCATGCTCAGCCTAAACACAAAACAAAGCGAAATAAAAGTAAATGGAATAAAACCAACATGAGAGATAGAGATTATGCATTACAAAATTAATAAAAACACACGACATTAAAAGTTTCACGATCGCAAAGACTTTCAAGAAATTATCAAAATGGCAAATTCAAACGCCTTCTGTGTATGCCAAAGGAATCATATTCCGATTATTTAGTTCCAGTACAACGCCATCGTTGCATAGTATAATACCACATTTGAAGAGTTGATGGAAAAGGCTATTAACATTGCCTTTAGATGTTTTCTGAAAAGTCTTTGCGAATGCCTTAAACACACTTTTGTAAGAAAGACCGAGGATTTATATCTTTTCACCACAATTCTGAGTATACAATGCATACATATAGCTGTGCATATTTCTCATATGACTCCGGTCACGTGATGCATGTTCTGCAGCCTAATGTCTGGAGAGGATGAAGGCAGCCAGCATGGCCACGCCCATAGCAACGAAGCTGGTTGTCACGGTGGTACCTCCATTGCAGAGGTTGGAGTTGCAGCAGTAGGTACAGGTACCGTCTACGCAGCCCTCAGTACAGGCAATAGCACACGAACGTATTACTGTTGATCCACTAACTCCTTTCTAAATGATAAAAATAATAACAACAACAAAAAATAGTAGTGATGGTAGTAGTAGTAGTAGTAGTAGTAGTAGAGTAGTGGTAATAGTAGTCATGGTCTTAGTAATAATACGAAAAAATGATGCTAATAATACTACTACCATTACTACTACCACTACTACTACTACTACTATTAACAATATTAATGATACTGATAATGATAGCAATGATAATAATACTTGTAATAGTAATATTAACAAATAAATTAATCACATTGATAATAATCATAACACTTATAATAATAACACTACTTGTAACATTAATTATATATTGTTTAAAGGAAAATAATGATTATAATATAATAATAAAATTAAATATTATAATACAATGAAAATGCTGAATTTGGGTATATTATTGCATCGTTTCTCAAAAAAAAAAATGGTACTTTTATGTAAATATGTTGCGTCACCTTTCTCACTAGTAAAGCTTGTGCATTTAATTTCAAAAGGATTTCGCAACTTACAAGTCATATCTTATAATTATGATTAAAATAATTATAATAATAATAATAATAATAATAATAATAATAATAATGATAATGATAATATTACAATAATTATCATTATTATAATAATGTATGAAAAAATAATAATAATAACAATGATAATATTACAAATATTAACGATAACAATAAATTTGATGATGAAATTGATATTGATAATGATAATTATGATAATAAAAAAAATTGGTGCCATGATAGTTTAATCAAAATATCAAAGTCATATTTCGAATATTCATTTGAAGATCATTCCTTTTTAGGCGCCATCTTCTTCTATGATATTCCTCCACAGTACCATCGCAAAAATGAGAACGCTCGCAAGTTATGTTTCACCTTTACTTAAATACAATTGTTTTACCAAACAAATGATGTAAGTCATTCTTGTAGATAATTTTCTTAGTTACACCGTATCAAAAGTAGATGTCTTACCACACAATACGCGTATGTAATCAAACTACTACCAGGACAAGTGTTCGATACACCTGATGCAGACGAATCGAAAGGATCAGTACAACCCGAAACTCCACAGTTGTAGCACTCAATGGCCCAGGTACCTGTGTTATTAAAGATAATGAACATTATCATACATTTCAAAACGGGTTCTAGAAAATAGGGAATCAAAATGGTCAAATGATGATGCACGGCTAAGGGATGCGTAGATGGGTATCTCTGAGGCGGTCAAAAATAAGTACCAAGTCATTTGATTTTTTTCTTCCCTTTTTAACCCTTTCGGTGAACTTTATTTCACATATCTACAATGCTCACAATGACATAAATACATATAATATTAAATCATAATGTAAGCATATCAATCAAAGCTTTTACCTGTTTTTCATTTATCTTTACTTTCGTTTTCGAAGTTAAATGTGACATGAATTAATACTTCAAAACAGTTTTAAAAGTTCCAGTAATGGCGAATTATATTGTTTTTATAATTTCCGCTAACATTTATCCGCTTACAGCCGGTATATATAAAATTGTAACCGAAATGTGAGTTAAGTATAAAAACATTTGTTTCTGAAGCTAACGGATTAGCTGAGTAGGGGAATGGATTATAGTAAATGGGGGAAGAGACGAAGGGAATGAGTGAACGGATTAACTAAATAAGGGATGGGCATAAGTAATAAGGGGAGAATTCAAAGGTGAATTATGGAATCAAATAAGGGAATTAGCAAAGGGATCAGAAATGGATTAAGTTAATAAGTGCAGTGATTGGGAAAAGAGATTAAGCGAAGTAAGGAAGGGATTAAATGAATTTGCAAAGGTACTAATTAAATAATGACAAAGCGATTAACTAAATAAGGAAATGGATTGCGTTAATAAGGGCAGTTATTGAAGGAAAGGATCAAGTGAATGAGGGACGAAAATTAAATGTCAATACTGAGCGGGTTAAGTTAATAAGGGCAGTGATTAGGTGATAAAGGGGGTGAATAAGAAACGGATTAAGTGAACGGGTAGTTACTTTAGTTGAAAAGGGAGGTGATTGATTTAATAAGGGGATTGAGTTAATAAGGGCAAAGATCAAGGGAAGAGATCAATAGAAGTAAATAGTCCTTACCTGCGACCATTGAGATCAAAACAGTAACCAAGAATAACTTCATGACTAACTCGTCTGCCAGAACGTATTCTAAATGATAACACAAAAAGAAATGAAATGTATTCGATGATAATTAATAAACGATGATAACAAATGCATGTTATTTAGACCTACACAGGAAAGCTTATTCTAATGATATGTCCATTTATATAGAGCAGGGATACAATTGGGTATCGAAATCAAACTTTAAATTGATTTTTTTTTTTTTTTTTTAAATATATTTGTAATAGTATTTCCAATTCAATTTTGATTAAATTCAATGAATATTTTTATCCTTCACAAATAGAAAATGAACATACCATGATGCTAGATGTAGAAAGGAGGCGAAATTCTCTAAAATCACAAAGCTTGAAAAGGAAGATCTATATATTTAGGATTATCCAAATTGAATTATTTGTTATAAACATATAGCTAGATACATAATATTTACAATTACATCAAATGTAAGAATTGAGTCTGGTGTCACCGAATCCACCGGCCCATCTCAATTTAACCTACACAACCGTAATTGTCTCGTTCCCTTTCGTATTATATTCATAAATATATGTGTGTGTCTGTCCTATTCATCATTTGATCTAATGTTGGTCAAATGACGTTAAACCATATGGTAATTAAACCAAATGGCAATAGAAAGCAAAGGCTTTAAGGAGTGCTGTGGTATACTAGTGAATGCCCGTAACTTTCATACAAAAGGTTCCGGGTTCGATCCTATTCGTGAACATAATTGTCCCTCTCGACCACAGAATTCTGGATGCAGCACTGAAAGTGTAAGTTGCATACATTTGTAACACGTACGAATTTGGCAAATCTCCTGGTTCGCCTTTGTGTCGTAGACGTAGATCAAGTCCCTTTTGTTTGTTCCATTAATGTATCGAATGGGAATAAATCAAACATGTCTCCGCTTTTCAACTCCATCCCCACCCTTCACCGCTCTTTTGTTCCCTTTCGGTCCATGCATCCCCCTGGGACGTTTTTATTCAAATTCAATTCCGAAAAAAAACGCTATCATCTTTCCTTGTTTGCTTCTTTTTTTAAAGGTACTATGACCCATTTGCAGGCCAAAAAAATGAAAAGTTAAATTCAAACGGCATTTGAAAGATGATACTAATTTGGAACTGCCCTCAAAACAAAAGGGCTCGGAAAAGTCTTTTTTGTGAGAAAATAACGACCGTTACGTTAGTTGTCAAATCGAATTTAGGGATTACAGTCGTTTTATTAAATAGTCTGATTTCAGCCCCGTTTACCGAATGTTCATACGATTTGTGCTGCGCGAAGATTCAATCAGTTTAATTTTGGTCAATACAAGAATTGGATTATTGATGTAGACAAATGCCCATGTACCATTTACAACTCATTTTATGTATATTATTACCGAAGAAAAAAAAGAGGTCAGTCAGTCATTCAATAGTGTCCAGAAAGTAGTCGGGTTTCCGTGCATAATTTGAATACTAGGACACTAATAACGTTAATATTTCACAGAAAGGACGTACGTGACATGTTCATGATTACTGCAAAGTTCTACATAATTTGATGTTGGCTGCAAAAGGGACACTACCTTTAAAGAGAGAGAAAAACAAGCTTTGTTTTTTTATTCTTTAAAAGAGACAATACATTATAAAAGAGGGGGTATTGTTCATAACGGGCCGAAACTCCCGACTACTGGTGGAAGAACAACTGATGACCTCCCAGTTTGGACATGAGACGACTACCAACATAGTGTCCCCTTTTCAATCAACTTATAATAATGTATTCATACTTTATAGAAAATAGACCGTGAGAAACCCCACGCATCATGTCTTCACTGCTACAAGGGGCTTCTCTTTATCTTCTGCTTTTTGTGGATCTATTTATCTGCATTTATGTATTTCATAAGAGGGTGGCCGATATTCTTACAATGTTTTTAACCCTCTTGTGAGGAATTGCTTGAAAATAATGCAATATACATATTACACAGTTTACATGAATAAACAAATTAAAAACATATTACGATTATACATATTCTTAAATCATTTCATGCTCTTCAATATTATTTTCTTCAGAATTGTGTTACTCTTGCCAACTTTTGTTTACTCTTTACGATGTATTTTAAATTATCTAATTATGAGGTCTCTTACAACTGAATTAATTTGTTTGAATTCATAAGTACTTAAAGATGTGGTAGACAGGGATACTTCAATAAATAAAAAGGCACGACATTTTATTTTAATGTCAGTTATGTTAATGGTTTCAAAAACTATAAAATATGCATATGTTTAGACTCAAACACACATGATAACAATTTAAATAGTTGAAATAAAAAAATCCCGGAGAGTTCAAATTACTATTACCGGTTTCATTGAATTACGTCTGATAGTGAATAAAAACTTAAATAACAATTTGTACTATAGTAAAAGTGAACTGAACTTCGTAGGATATTTATTTCAACTATTAGTGAAATGTGTACGATTTCACACACACACACACACACACACATAAATACTCACAAGCATATAACAAAGTTCTGTTTGTTTAAAGTAATGCTTGCATTTCCATGATTTTATTAAACGAATTCGTTTTCACTGGCTGCCCGCCGTAGCAACAGAGTTGACGAAAGACTTTATGCATGGCTAATTCATCCTCATTTAGCAACAACATAACCTTGAGATTTAAACTATCATATCATTAATATATATAGTACTTACAGTATTGGAGTACACAAGATATCCTTTAGTTTAATAAAATCTCCCCCACTCTTCCCCTACCCCCTCCCCCACCCCCCCCCCCCCCTCCCTCTCCCCTCCATGCCCTCCATGATCTATGTATCACATTCGCTACGAAAAGTTCACCCCCTCCCTCTTCGCTTCCCCTCTTCCCTCCTCTCTCTCTCTCTCTCTCTCCGTATCTCTCTCTTTCTCTCTCCTTCTCTCTCTCTCTTCCCTCCCTCTGTTTCTCTCTCTGTCTTTTTTCTTCCACTCTCTCGTTATGGTCTTCCATTATCCATGGGTCACTTGATTTTTAAAACACAGTCAAACCTGAATATAAAAACCGCTAACTTGACACACGGATAGTGACCATTATTGGCAGGTGGACTTTATGTACAGCTATTTGTTTAAATGTGAAGCGACGTTTAGTGGTAACATAAATCTATATCCAGCAAGTCTTGTTATACAGGTCGTTACCCGAAACTGGTTTGACTGTATTAAAGAAAATGTTAGGAAGAAACTATTTACCATAATGCGAATTCTCATTCCAGTCGCTCCACACAGTTAAAATTTTTGTGAACAAGTTGTTTAAAAGTTTAAACAACTCTTGATTAACGGGTGACCTGATCTAAGAGTTGTTTAAAATGTTAAGCAACTCGAATTGTTTAAAGTTTAAACACTTAGTTGATCAACATTTTGAACAACTTGTTTAAAATCACAATTTAAACAACCGGTGTTGTTTAAAGACGGTTGTTTAAAACGGAGCTGTTGTTCAGTGGAGGTTGTTTACACCAACTGGGTTGTTTAAAGAAAGTTGTTTAAAAAGGAGCTGTTGTTCAGTGGGGGTTGTTTACACCAACTGGGTTGTTTAAAGAAAGTTGTTTAAAAAGGAGCTGTTGTTCAGTGGGGGTTGTTTACACCAACTGGGTTGTTTAAAGAAAGTTGTTTAAAAAGGAGCTGTTGTTCAGTGGGGGTTGTTTACACCAACTGGGTTGTTTAAAGAAAGTTGTTTAAAATGGAGCTGTTGTTCAGTGGGGGTTGTTTAAACCAACTGGGTTGTTTAAAGAAAGTTGTTTAAAAAGGAGCTGTTGTTCAGTGGGGGTTGTTTACAACAAAAGGGTTGTATAAAGGGGTATAATTTGGGTTTGATACTCTGAATAAGTGCACCACTACTTCTGGGTCTCTATATAGGTATATGAAGACTAGGGTAATTCTGCAATTCATGAATTAGCGCCAAAACAGTGCCCATTTTGCATGAGCGCGCATGCACGCACGTATAAACTGCATATATAGGGATGCATGCAATCTCTATGGCAAGGAATTTAGCACACGTTATAACCGAGTGCGCGATCAGTGCCGCACTGCACGACGCGACGATTTTAAGTCTACCTATATTCTGACATTTGCGTACAGATACCGAAAATTTTAACTGAGAACTTACGCTATAAGTTAAAAACTTCAAATTGGTTAATAGAAAAGTGATTTCAATTAAGCCATTGAATCCCCAGTCACTTAGAAGCGCGTCGGTAGCTTGGTCGGCCATGATGTGTGTTGTGTTGTGGGTTGGAAAGTAATAACTATTAAGCTAAATAAATGTAAGTATAGAGACAAACAAAATGGAGCCTGCAGAAACACGTGTGGTTGCTTTGGTAGTTTAATCCAGACTCAATGTCCATGTGCTTTTACATATGTATCAATCTGTGTAGTCAACAGAAGACCCTTGCATACACTCGCATTGTGTGTATGCATCTAATATGAATAACAATGAGCTGTGCCTTAACAGATGCACTGCATTTCTAAGTGGCATGTCAATTTCAATTGCATGTTAGTTTCAAGGAACCTGTTTCTAAACATAACAATGTGAAATAAAGCCTTTAGCCAACACGCACTTTACTGGCACGAGACACATGACGTCATATGTAAACAACACTGTCTAAAAGCTCTCGTATAGTAAATATAGCAGTCATTAAATTTTAAACAACGAATGTTTAACAAAATTACTTCTGTTTCGAGCAACATTGTTTACAATTTGATCAACTGTTGTTTAAGATAGTGTACAACTGTAAGTGAACATCACTTTTTTAAACAGCGTTTTTACTGTGCACCACCTCCCCACTCTTCCTGAATCCCCGCCCCCGACATGGAAAGCAAGCGACATCGTCGATTGATACAATGGGAAACACTTTTTGTTATTAGATGCTGCTTGTAAGTATGGGCTTGCATGGTGATGGTGACTATCCGTCGTCAAGAGTGACGACGGATAGTCAACCTGTTCGAAACGTCGAGCCACTCCCGCCACTCATCCTCTCCAAGCGCTTTAGTTCTCCTTAGAACTATAAGCTTAGAAAG